GGTGATCATTTGTTATTCTTTTTGCCTCTATGATAGAAGTTTTCGTTGTGTTGTGGTTTTGATACTGAAAGAGACCCTTGATTTGTCCTAAATTTTGCACTATATTATCATTAATTAATTAGTGTTAACTACATAAGTCTTGCATAGGATCTTGGTAAAGAAATAAAATACTGGTGCAACTGATATATGTAATTGGAGATTCTATGAGTACGAGATGAAAGAGACATAATGCCTTACCTCAATAGGTAGAAAAATGAGGGCTATGTTGAACTTCATTATCTCTTTAACAGCGCATCAACACTTAATTATATATGCCCTGTCTTTTTTTAAAAAGAACAGAGAGACCTTCAAACGCAAAGTCTAAAAAATAAATTTTGAATCAAATCTCTTAATATTTTTTTTTGTCACCTATTATCATTTCAAGTGTTTTAAGTTTAATGGAGCTAATGCTTTAGACAAATAATTTTTTTTTTTATATTTATTACGCTATCATATGGCGAACAATATTATGGCACGTACGTTCACACGCGTCTTACTAGTTTATACTAAAAGGAAGGAGTGCTAAAACTTTTTAACCTCTTCGTGTTGTTATGCTGTCCATTTTTTGAAAATAACTAGCAGTTAGAGTGAAAGTTACATGGACCTGGAGATTTGGAGATCCTGTCCGGTATAAGCCCAATCTACTTGAACTGATCAATTTTCACTGTACAGTGGGATTAAAATCAAAGTTTCTTACGAGTCGTATTTGATTTAGATTAAAATCATTTTCACTCCTTTAGGGTTTTCTGAAATTCTACATCAAAATCCATCCACAATCACATAGCTAGGGCATGTTACTGAATCTCTATATCGATTGAAAAAATATAGAGAGAAAGAAATGCCGCTGTTTTTATCAGAGAACGAATTCCAGCAATGCTCGCACGATGCATCGCTGGTAGCGGAGAAGGCGGATTCATTCATACGAGGACTATACAATCAACTCGAGACCGTTAAAGCGGAGGCAGACGCAGCCTCCATCACCGCCGAGCAGACGTGCTCTCTTCTCGAACAGAAGTACGTTTCTCTCAGTGCGGAATTCTCCGCCCTACAATCACAGCTCACGCAACTTAATTCCTCTGTCGATCAGCGAGCCTCGGAGCTTCAACAACTCCAATCTGAAAAGAAACAACTCGCTCTTCAATCCGTAAATTCATCTTTCTTATTTTAAGTGCTTATGTGCTGTCCATTAACGCAATTGAGCGGTGACTAAAATATAATAATGTTTCTGGTTTGGTGTTTTGTTTTGGCTACCAAAAAAGATCGAGAAAGATGGGGAGATTGAGAAGTTGACTAGGGAAGCCACAGAGCTTCACAAATCAAAGAGGCAATTGATGGAAATCCTCGAAGCAAAAGATTTAGAGATCAGTGAGAAAAATTCAACCATAAAGAGCTATCTGGATAAGATTGTATGCTACTGATGCTTCATTGTTGATTTCAATCTGCACTTAATTTTTTATCATCATTCCCAAGGATATATGCTAATTCTATTGAAGTTGCATGCTTAATTTTTTACCGAATTCTAACATTGCAGTCATTGCATAAATATTCTTTGGAATGTATTTTAGAGATGCATTAAAAAATGTGATGCTCTATAGAAAGTTTACGCCTAGCATTGTGTCAGAAGGACTATTTGGCATATTCTGTAGTAAACTCATACTTGGACTGCCTTGTTTGAAGCTCAATTTGACTGAAAGTGTTGCCTCAAGGGAAGCGCGGCTGGGTGATTTGGAGTCTGAATTGACACGCTCTCAAGCTTCATCTGCCCGCCTTTTGCAGGTAAGCTGAACTTTTCTTGAATACTATGCTCTTTCTGTTTTAATTGTTTAGATTAGACATGTCGATTGGCTTCTTGTTCATCTCGAGCTTGCAACTACATTTCCCTTAACTCTTAACTTATTGTCCTATTCCTAACCACAAAGAGGTTAGCTGTTTTCCTAAAAGTTGGCTACGACAGTTGTTTGTATTGTGAACTAGTTTAACAAACAAATTCTTTTGTTTGTGGTCTGCGATGGGTCTAAACATAGAAAAATAAGAGAAGCGCCTCTGACTTTAGCTAACGGTAGATGATAGAAACTTCAGTGGTTTAGTTGTTCATTAACTGCTTGTTCTCTAATCTCGCCTGAGGGTTTTAGGAAATGATTACATATATTAATTACGAAGTTATGTAATTTCAGTTAATCAAAAATCTCTTCAAGTTCATATATTTGCATTTGCCATATAACACTATTTTCGATCTTGTTTTAACACTTAATTGGTTCATATTTAATGTATTTATCTGATTATAATATTATCCACATGTAAACTACATGTATGCTTCGTATATGAGGATCATATCACAGTCTACTTTTGTTTTGGATTTAATGATACTCCCTCCATCAGTAGTTAGACCGCATAGGTTTGACTTTTATTAAAAAAAATGGCCTTTTTTACCGTGCTCCTTTCTAAGAGAACTTTAACTTACAAATACTGGCATATTAAGATCAAGAAACTATGCTTTTTTACTCTTACGAACGGTGTACATTGAATGTTCTTATATATGTTCTCATTTTGCCACGTAACTGATGCTAATTCATTTGTACTTGCACCATGGTTGAGCAAACTCTGAAATGCTACATTGAAATTTCTAATCTGGTAACCTGTATTATCTGTTTTACACTACACTTCCTGCTATGTGTTTTCGATTGATATTGACTTATTGAGTATTAAGACATCATTTGTTTCTGCTATTATAAATAACTTTTGATGTGTACTTTCCTAATCGAAAAGAAGGTTTTTTTTCAGTTTTGGTGGTAAACATTTTTCACATGACATTCAAAAATAGAAACTGAGTCGAATACTATGAGAGTAGTACCACACAGGAATTTATTTAAACTATTAACAAAACCAGTTTTAGGAGATGGAATGAATCAAATCCTATGAAGCTTTGCTAATATTTAGAGTAGATGTATCTGCATGTCAAGTTCAGGCCTCTTTCTCTGCATTTCTTTTTGAGCTTCCTTTTGATTGAGCTACAGTTTGAAGTTTGTGCTCTATTGAATTTATGATAGTTACGTGATACGTTGCAGCTATTGTTTGCTTGTTCTTCACTTGGTATCACACTTACTATATTTTCTTTTGCTTGATTTGCAAATTATTTCAGCTGAGTGATTTCATTTGTGGTCGTTGGTTTTTGTTTTGAAACGAGCAGGAGAAAGAGCTTCTTGAGAGGCATAATGGGTGGCTTAATGAAGAGTTAACAGATAAGGTTCACAGTCTTATGGAACTGCGTAAAACACATGGTGAACTTGATGCAGATATGTCTGCTAAGCTTGCAGATGTAAGTGTAAATTTATTACTGCCAACTATCAAGGAATAAAGAATCTAGATTGATCATGCTTAAATTAGAGGATTCTGCTTTTCCTCATGAGATGTTATGTTAGTGATTTGAGTTTATCCTTCCCTTCCCCCAATGCCAGGTTGAGAAAAAATTTAGCCAGACTTGTAGTTCTTTAAAGTTGTACAAGGAAAGGGTGGAGGAGTTGGAAGTGAAGGTTGCATCACTGGAGAAGGTGTGTTCTCTTTTGAGTGCTCTTTTAAGTTTCTTGGCTGTACACTTTCAAGTCGACTTGTTCATTTTTATACTCATTTCGCTCTATAATTCTTGAAGGAGTTGCTGTCATCTAAGGATGCAGCAGCAGTTGCAGAGGAGCAGTTTACTGCTGAAATTTCAACAGTAAGTCGATATCTACGTGTATAAGAGGTCAAATACTTTGCATTCACATTTTATAGTTCTTTTGATCTTGGATTCCCTTGTACTTTACTAATATTTGTTTTGAGGTGCCTTTCTTGCTGTTCTATAAGCACTGATTTACTTATCACTTCCTTATCTGAATACTGTGCTGTATGGATATGTTAAATTTTTAATGAATGGACGAGTATGATTGGGTTGGAGGGGAAATTATTTTATGCGGGTATACTTGGAATTTTGCGTGTGCAAGATAGTGGATGAAATTAAGTGATTATGATTGTATGGGAGAAGTGCGGACCATGTTGACTTTGGATCTCTAATGCATATGGTCAAACCTAGAGTTAATAATTTTAGAGATTGTTGTTAAGTTATGCTTGAATTGAGGTTTTTGTCGTGCTTTTATCTGCCATTTCAGTCAAAACAGAGGGATTGATGTAACACAATGAACAAGTCTTGAATGAAAATACATTATCACGTTTGGGCAGCATTTTCACTTTTCTTTTAATGATTTAAGTGTGAACGATTCATGTCCTTGACAAAATTGATGCCCATCATGTCAAAATGACAATTGGACATTTCACAGTGTTGTTATATCTGTTCTATACAGTTACCGATGCTTGCATTTCTCCTGAATGTTTTCAACCTCGTAGGTAACCAAGCTTGTGGAACTATACAAGGAGAGCACTGAGGAATGGTCCAAAAAGGCAGGCGAGCTTGAGGGAGTAATCAAGGCTTTAGAAGTGAGCACTGTTTGTAGTTTACTGTAGTTTGAAGTCCTGACTGTTCAAACTCTCCACTCCTAAATGTGTGGAATCAAACAAATAACCACTTGGACACATAATCTCCCACTCATTGGACTTAAAGATAGTAGTGTTCTAATGATGGGTGAGATACTTTTGGATATTATAGTTTTGTTACCTTTGCTCTGTAGACACATCGAAATCAAATTGAAAATGATTACAAAGAGAAGCTTGAAAAGGAAGTTTCTGCAAGGAAGGAAGTAGAAAAGGTATGTTGTAAATGATGTTTCATTTTTCTTAAAATCAAATATTTATTAGAACTAGTTAACATCCTGACAAGTTTTGGTGGGTAATGATACGGTGATATCACAAGTTACCTTATCTTCGGAAAAGTCTGTCTACATAATAATATGTGCCTGCACTTGGGAACACCTAAATGTTATTGTGGAGCCAATTTGCATTATCACAAAAAAATATTTTCTTCCAGAAACCCTTTTATGTTTGCCATAAAAAAAACCATCTCCTCCAAATTGCATAGAATGTCCGTCTTGCTAAAATCTTTTTCTCAGGAAAATAAGGTTACTGTTGTACGATATAACCCAACCAGAGCTATATTATTTTTCCTTGTCATTTGATTATTTTTGTGACTGATTGGAAGAAAAATGAGCCATGCTTTTTGGTGCCATAGAGGTCCAAATCTCATTCTTTGAAAATGCTATTTATTTTCTCTTTTATTTTTCGAGTACTCATTTCCTTGGACCTTTAAAGAAATCTGATTTGGAAGGCCACGAGTTCTCATATAGGTTTCAGGATCCTTCAGTATGTGCATACCAATGTTGAATTCCTTGTTTGAGCGAGATTTTAACCTTTTTGTTATATTATGTTATCTTGGGTATTTTTTGTTTGATTTTTGTAGCTTTCATCTTCAGATTATTCTGGTTAATTAGTATGTTTATTTGTTTGTTGTTAGAGTGACTTCACCTTTATATCTCTTTTGGATGGAATAGGAGACTGCCAATCTGAAAGAGAAGCTCGAGACATGTGAAGCAGATTTGGAGAGTTGTAGGAAAGAGAGTGAGCTTAAACATCTTCCTCTGAGTAGTTTTACTACTGACTTGTAAGTTAGATTTTTACCAAATATATAATTATAAATTGGGATACAGCTACACATATTAGAGAGGATCACCTCTTTTATTGTTACTATGCTGTTACTTATTGATGATGTTAGTTATTGACTTACTTCAGCTTTATGTGTGTATTCATGTATGTAATATTGGCAATTTACCATGCCAGCTTGTCTAATTGAGGACATTGTACTATTTTCTACTAGAAAGTGAGAGAAAAAAATACGCGAGAAAATTATCAACCTTAATTGGATGCCTCCTGTGATGAATTTTTTTTCCAATCATTTTTAAAAACCACTGGTTTGACTTTTTATTTCCTTAATTACACCTCTAATGTTTTTAGAGTTGGGAGAAATTTTTCTGCTCCGTTGATGTTCATGAATATTGTTGTACTTTAAACTCATTAAACAAATTAGAATGTTTTGAAATTAGTTCTTTAAATCGCTTGATCGTTAACTTTTAACTATTCCTGTGTAATATGTGGATATTTATTGTGTATAATTACAGATGGGCACGCTCAGTTGAATGTGATGATGTGGATAATGATCGTATGATTGTACCTAGGATTCCAGCTGGCATTTCTGGAACAGCATTGGCAGCTTCACTTCTTAGGGATGGTTGGAGTGTGAGTCACTTCTTTCAAATAATTTAGAGTGTTGAACCTCCTTTTTCTTACCCTCATATAATCACCTGGCTTCTTTTCCTGCCATGTTAATTTTATCTGAAAAATCTTTAACCTTTTATTTGTTTAGCTGGCCAAAATGTATGCCAAATACCAAGAAGCTGTTGATGCACTGCAACACGAACAATTGGGGAGAAAGCAAACCCAAGCTATCTTGGAGAGGGTATGTTAATATTCAATAGTCACAGTTGTATTTGGTGCCAAATTGATGAATTAACTATTTTGCTTTCTGGATTTTTTGCCAACTTTCTAAATGCGGAGCTATCTCACTAGGTTCTGTCTCTCCTCCCTGCATCTTCCCTATCTCTTTGCTGAAGTTTGATTTTGAAATTGATGTAACATGTTTATTTTTCTTTCTTTGAGAAATGCTTCTAAGCTGTCGTACTTCACATTATAAGCACTTCTCTCTTCATGTACTCAATGACCGACCTTTCTGCTATGAAGATTTGATCTTCGCTAATCTTGTCATAGCATTTTTTCGTGAGTTGCTGTCATCTTAACAGATTGATTTTTAGGTACTTCATGAAATAGAAGAGAAAGCTGGACTCATCATGGACGAAAGAGGTATGCTTTTTCTTTTGGATTGACTACTAAATGAATTACATCACTGTACCATGTTCTCGAGGAAAGACACCGGCCTCGAGTCACAATTTTTTCTTGTCCACTTGAGAATTCAGAGAGTTGATCTTAATAGCATGTTTTGTGTACAAGTGTCCATATATCTCTAGAATTTAGAACTTTCATAGACATTTTTTTAATAAATATTGTTATCTAGGTGATTTTGTCTGCAAAAGTTGACATTTTATCTTTTTTTTGCAAATGTTCTTTTAGTCAATGTCACCTCTTTGGGGGTGAGGGGGTGCTTGTGTAGTGAATGTCCAAAGATTTTGTACATGCTCTCTATTATGCATTAGCTATACGGTTTGTGCAAGATAATCTAATGGCTTTACCTTGAATCCACAAACAAGATTATCAAAGGTCCTTTAGGTTATGTCATTTTTTCAAAAATTGAGGGCAACGAGGAAAGAAGAAAACATCATTAATGAGTCGCCTTTTTGTTTACTCGTTAAGTATATACATATTTGTCAATAACTTTAGAAGATATACATAATATAAAAATGATATTGTACAGATAGATCTCATTTTTCTCTCGATCATTTGTTAGAGCTCACTTATTGGCCTGTAGATTCATGTATTTTGCACTGTAGGAAAAGGGGATAAAATGTCCATTTGATTTGATCTTCATGTGCCTCATGTTGTATGGATGCTTTTAAAAGTGATTAACTTTCTGCAAAACTACTATTTACTGGGACTTCTCGTGTTCTGCTTTCTAGTAGAAAAAACATTGATAGACAGAAGATGGGTACAAAGGCTGAGGATGTGAAAATCCTGCAGTATGAAAAAAATAGAAAATTACCAAGTCATTGCTTTCTAATCCCTTTGTATATTTGTTACTTGCTTTTAGAGGCAATTGATATGATTGAAAGTTTGGACTGTGATCACGTTTCTAGTTAATATAGTGGTAATTTTATGTAGGTTATCATGACTAGCCAGCTCATTTATCTAATAAACTGCTGAGGAGGGGCAGACTGGTTGTTAGCCACGCTCTTCTTTCAAACAATAGTGTATTTATTTATTGAAGCACAAAAAAGGAAAAAAGGGGTCTATGAAGAAAATGGAGCTAGTCATGCTGTGTTGATAAATCTACCCTGAAGTGCATTTCTTGCATTTATCTTTTTTATTACTGAATCTCTTATAGTTATTATTTGCACCTGTTGGAAGTAAGAATAAAGAAAGTGAAGAAATAAGTTTATTCACAACAATTTAATTCAATTTATGCTTCCTAAAATTTATCCACCGAAATTAGGCATGTTAGGTTTTATTTTATTTTCATCATTTTGTATTAGGGGTTTGTTCAATGGTTTTCTTTTGTACAGTGGAACATGAGAGATTGGTTGAAGCTTACTCTGTACTTGACGAAAAACTGCAGCATTCACTTTCTCAGCAATTGGCTTTAGAGACTTCTATCCAGGAACTAAAGGTTTGTCACATTTGTTGTTAAGGTTGGGTTAGCACCGGATTAGTTTTTATCTTGTGGTGTACTGTTGTTGTTGAGTTTGGTGCCTATGCAATTTGTTTCGCAGGCTGGCTTAAAGAGGCAAGAACGTGACTGTATAATAGCTCAGAAAGAGACTGTTGACCTCCAGAATCAGGTTTGTTTGGGAGGGGTATCTCATGGTCAATATTTATTGTTAACCCAGACTTTTCATATGTGCGTTTTTTCTCTAAAATCTTTTAATTTTATGTTGGTGCTTAAAATTCTTTGCTGTTGTCGTAGCGTATGATTTATTCTTTTATAACTTTCTTGAACTAGAAATCTTAAATTCCAGCATACACTTTGGATGACTGGTACTGGTTGTGCAATTCATGACTTGGGGGATCATTGATTTTGCTAGATCTTTTTAACATTCTACACCTGCTGTTACTACTCCATTAGGTGGCTGTCCTTTTAAAGGAGTGTCGTGATGTTCAGTTGCGCTGTGGATCTGTTGGTCATGATAATGGCGACTTTGCAATTTCCAGTCCCAAAATTTTGTTAAATGCTGAATCTGATGCTGAAAATATTATATCTGAACGTCTGGTATCTTTCGGTTACCTCTTCCTCACGCTGTGCGAAGATGACTCTTCCATGAAGAGGACTATTAATATTTGATGTGTTGTTGGGTCTTATCATTTGTGCAGTTGACCTTTAAGGATATAAATGGATTAGTTGAACAAAACGTCCAGCTCCGAAGTCTCGTTCGTGGTCTTTCTGACCAGATTGAGGAGAAAGAAATGGGTTTAAAGGTATTACGAGTTTCCCTTTGTAATATTTATTGACACAGCTTCTGTTATTTTTTTTTTGAGCTGACCAGGTTTTTGAGAATTTCCAGGAGAAATATGAAAAGGAGTTTCAGAAACATAATGAGGAAACTGCCTCTAAAGTTAATGCAGTACTAATGAGAGTGGAAGAGCAGGGACTCATGATTGAATCCCTTCATTCATCTGTAAGTTTTTTCAAGTGGTTTGGCTTACTCTTCAGTGAGCTTTAATTTTTTGAATTTTATTGGCATTATACAATAAAGAGTTTAACTATCTCAATTCTATCTTCCGTTTTGTGCTGAATTCTGTTCTCTCCTCTAATAGGTGGCGATGTACAAAAAGTTATATGAAGAGGAACAGAAACGTCATTCTTCTTATCCTCAACCCCAGGAAGCAGCCACAGGTATTTTTATTCTTTCATGCTTTTGTCCTCTCATTGCTACAGCTGCTCTGCAGTCCTTAGTTTCTTGTAGACTTGCATGTCTTTCAAGCTATTCTGATGGTTTTGGTTGTCTTACGGTAAAGGAATTCATATTGAAGAACGGGAACTTCAAAAATTGGAAGCACTTGGATATCTTTTTCTCTTTTCTTCTGGGTTGGGAGGGAGCCATCAACAATTCCATCATTCCATGAGTTAAAGAAAAGGCTTAAATTTATGACTCCGTCTGGGAAGAATTAATAGACGGTTTAATT